AACTCGAGGACGCAATTGATCTGCAGTTATCTGTCCATATGCTTTAAGGGACGTCTCAAACACACAACACAGCGATGGTTAGACCACAATAAGCTATCTCAATCGACTGCTCTGAATTCTACTAAGCTAGTTTTTTATAACCTAAGAACTTTTGTCATGGCACCCTGGATTTTCGCAGTCTTAGCACCTTGATGCACGCCGATTGATCCCCATTGTCACTGGTTTGAGTTTGAGCAAAACTATTTTTGAAGCTGATCGCTCACCTATTCACAACACAAAGGGATGCCCTGTACGCTGGGCGCCGTACTTAAAGGCAGCGTCTAGCTAGTCACCACGGCCAGCCTTCCCCACAGCTATTTTGGCACAGTTAGCATTATCTTTCTAAACAGACCCTCCTTCTGAGGCCGGAATGTGTAAGGAGATCCCAGATGTGGGAGATGACAAAGTGCCTGGACATGATGGCTTTCCCGCACCTCTATTTTTATGTAATGGATACACCGTAGAAAACTGCAACATCTGTTTTCTAAGGTTCGGAACGTCTGAAGGGTTCCCTCATCGGAAGAGGGTAATCAATTGAAGTCAGCATCTTTAAAAATGAGCAGTTTACTGTCTGAACTAACCACAGGCGGCTAAGCTTGAACCCAATAGCATCGATATTTCTGTTGAACGACATTCTTTGCAGATTCTACAATGCGCGTGGGGCGTAAACCCTCGAGGGGACTGGGTTTTGAACCGGTTTTGTATGCGACGAATAAATCTTTACCTTCGATAATCTTCTACAGCGCCCTCATGGTCTCTGTAGACAAATGTTCATTATTTTCTTGGACACCCGGACTACCTTTGATTTGATCTATAGGACAGCATTATAAAACTATTTTTGAGGAATGTAATAACTGAAAAGTATGCGTCAATCCCCAACGAGTTGTGTCATTAGAGCTTAAGTCGAGTTGGGTTCATAACCAGCCTTTGCCATCCTTTACCGTCTCCAGAGAAGTAAGGTTCCACTTCGACTTTGTTAACGAGGATATTCAACAGAATGCTTTGTCCGGTGTAGCAAACGGTATAGTTGTGCCCCTCCCAGGTAACGGAGTTCTTGACCCATAGTATGCTGATGACGGCACCTGATATCGCAGGTGTACTTTGCACCATCGAGGTGTAAAGTGCTCAGCTAAGACCATCAGAAGCCTGTGTCTTTACTTAACATTTGATGCAAGCTACATGTTATTTTAGCGCTGTATCAGGCTGAAGGTAGTGTTTAGTAAAGGGGAAACATCAAAACTAGCGAGAGATAAGGTGGTTTTTCCAGCTTGCAACACTTGTGGCGCCGCCGTGATATCACACTCTCCCTCAAGAGATGGTCGAACATCACCGCGGTTTGTAGAGTTATCCTTGACTGATTTGACTTATCTGGAACAATCGAACACCTTCAATGACATTGACGAGCCAGCACTCATCATCATCATCATCATCATCGTCATTGTACAGTGTAATAAAGTGAAGCGAATTTCACTGATGTCTGACAAATTAATATTGCTTACAAAGTAAGATAAAACTCGCCTTCCAGGTTGGAGCCCAAAGGATAAGGATTGACGCCGATTAAAAATCCATAAAGATATGGCTGAGAATATAGGTCAATTGTGTGGATATCACACAGTCTGTCTGTTGAAATTCCGTAATTACGTGTATATTCTCGGATTTTATTATTTTTTACAAATAAAACATCAGAAAATTGTTGGGCTACAATCCTCTCATATAGGTCCCGTCGTCCTGTCAATAATCGTGATTTCCTTTAGTCCTGAGCTAAGACATTCGCTGCATCAAGTGTTGGGACAGCATTCCTCCGGTTAATTTTCTTTACCGCAAGTATCTTAAAATAGATTGACTACATTTGCGTTCTTCGATGCCTTCCGTGTAGTACACAAAATCAGGCACCTAAAAGTACAAAACTAACTGGTGCTAAACAGGGTTTTCAGTCAAAATCGAAATTGTTGAACGCTCGATGCCTAAAAATATCCTTTTAAATTAATCGAAACTGGTGTTTTAAACAATACATGAAAGTGATTGGATAAAAACATGCTATTAAAAACCATTATTTTTTTGCCCAGACTGATATTTATGATGTGATCAAGAAGGAACTGGACTCCTTGTCTTCCATCGCATGTCTTGTGAACAATGTGGGAATGGTCAATCAACCGATGGAAGATTTCGCAGAAGAACCCAGTTTGACGTTCGATTTTATGGCCAAAATGCTACACTGCAACATATTATCAGCCGCCGGGATGACTCGTATCGTGCTACCCAAAANCCCAAAATGATCTGTCAACGATCCGGTGCTGCGATCATCAATATGAGTTCAGCCAGTAGCCAACTGCGATTGCCTTTTCTCACGTTTTACGCGTCATCTAAAGCGTGGATGTCCCAGTTCTCCAGTTGTCTTCAAGCCGAAGTGTCGAGGCATAACGTGCTCGTACAGAGCTATCATTCCATGTATGTTTCCACCGAACTGTTTGGAAAAACGTGCAGTTTCTTCGTTCCATCTGCGCAAACTTTTGTAAGAAGTGCACTCAATATGTTGGGTGTGAAACGTGATCTGGCCGGCTATTGGCCTCATGAGCTAGAGTTATACGCCTACCGTCTAACCCCACAACCGTTTATGACTTGGTCCCTCCATCGGGAATTTCTTCAATCAAGGTCAAAAACGAAGTAGAATTTCTTCGCAAGATCGAAATCGTTTGCATGCAACCACATCAATGGACTGCATTATTGTGTCGGAAGGAGAGAATTTGTTTTAAAATTTTGTCCAGTTTTATCCTTTCTCCTGCTTGATCCTTTTTTAGCAAATGTTTGATAATTCTGCATCTGTTTCCTCATGATCTAGAAAGAACTGCTTATCTTTCAATCCACAAATCATGTCAATCTCTTTATTTGTAACACGCACCATTCCATGATCTAGACAATACACACAGATTGTTTCCTTCTGAAGTGCATAGTGATGATGGAACAATAATTATCAGCAAACTAGCAAATACATCTGTGTGACGAACGGAGGATAGTAATCGACTGTTGCAACCAGATTATTCTGTTCTATTCCAGTACGTGAAGCCAATTTTTAACTAAAGTACTTTTTATTCGACTAAAGTGTTTGGTATAACGTTTGATCAAAGGATGATGGAAAGGAACCTCATGAATTTCAGGCATTCATGCTTGTTGAGGTAAATAATGACAAGCTTTTAAACTGGATACTTGATTGTCTGTTGCATGTAATTGTACGCATATGGCTGAAGAGCTGAACACCGAACAAAAGTCAGAACCCATATGAATAACAATTGATTATTTTCGTCATGACAACATTTTGCACCGTACAGGCATGAAATTACAACAGATGTATTCCATTGTCAATAATTCCGTTCCAAAATAACTATTTAAATATTTATATAATAACAGTAACAATGACTTTTACCTGGTGAAAATTCTAAAACATGTGTTGGTTTTATCAGCCGGCATGTGGTAAAACATTCAGGAGTATGGTTTGCGAAAAAGATAGACAAAGGCCATCCGTAACGCAACTGAGGATCATTTGAGCGACAGACGGTATTTGGTGGTTGTCGAAAGTTCAATAAAATTCACTATAAAACTTCCAATTGGTCTGCCTATCCGACTCAAGTAAGTTATGCTGTATACGGTCGTTCAGATTCAGCAACCCGAATGGTGCAAATATAACTGAATAAGCCATACCCTGAGGAAGCAATAACCAAACAACATGGCGGGATCAACCGACAATATCAACATCGGATCAATATTGAATGATAAGGTCGATACGAGGATATTAGTCGACCAAATGGAATTTTTAAACTCCTCTCTCCCACCCCATTCTTATGGTGAATCGTGATTATTTGTCACACTACTATCGTAAGTGATCGTAAAAGTATGGAAATGAATAAACATTGTATTTTTTTTAAAAGGGCTGTTTTATCTATTGCATCAAGACCGAAAAAGGTTTACACGTGGAAAAATGTTTTCGTTTTGTCTAATCTCCTCGGACGTTGAGAAACAGACAATAGACAGTTGCGTCACTCATGGAATGAACGTGGATGAATCAACAAATGAGAGATTTTATTATCAGATACAACTGGTCGACTACATGGCGAATAAAACGAGTGTGGCAAATCCCATGAGATCTACATTGCCACTTGGGTTTCAAAACATCCGATACTACTGATCTTTCTTATAGTTCACGCGTTAGACTGTTTTTGTTCCCTCATTTGCTAGTCAATGTGATTTGTCTCTTGAACACATAATAGAACTAACATATTTAAGTACGTTAGCATATTGTTTAGAGTTTGAGCAAACTACATACAAAACAACGATAACAGTCAAGAGAATTCCACTGGCACCAATAGTGGTACATGCAGTTTCAGGACCAACTGAATGAAACATCTGGGATAAAATTGCCAAGTCCTCTGAGTACACTTGCAATTGGGACGATACATTTATTCTCACAGAGTGTAAACATTTTGAATCCTTACTGAAACATTTTAACGCTTTCCATTCGCAACTTTTAGTGTCTCATGAAAGAGAACGCGACAATAGCCTTGCGGTTTTATGTGTTACGAATTCGAGTAGCTTCGATAAATCACGACATTGTTCTGTTTACCAGAAAAGTAATATTAAGTGGTCAAAGCAATTCTGTAGCTACTAGTCCATTGTTCATAGAAGTGAACTCGTTAAAGCTCTGTTTNTGTTTCATCAATTGAGGAACACCTGTTCTCCGATAAACGTCGAGAAGAACAATTCTTGAGGCAAGCATTGCTATTACCTGTTTACTCGGAAAGATTTATCATTATGCCATAGTAAACTGTTATAGCTGCATGGTATAGTCTCGGTATTGGATCCCAAAACAATCAACTTCCAACATTGCCTATCGCTCCGATGGTGAATCGACAAGTAGTGAAATAGGAACGTGTGAAAATTCATTTGTTGTACATAAAACATGTTTATTCATAGGGGAGAAGGAGAACATGACAAAACACTCACAAAATAATTGATTTACAGGATCATTGTCAACGGTTTTCATTGTCTGTGTATTTCAATCACTCACCTGAGTGTGGTTATCCTTGTTCTGATCGATTGCTCCAGAACAAAGTGAATTTCAGGCAGCACGCTGAGACCATGACATAAAATATATAAAATGTAACTCATCTCCAGTTGCATCCCGAAAGCTCTCAACGTCAATCTCTCTCTGTCTCAAAAGAGGTCCTATTCCAAGCTGCATGCATCGAAATTTGAAGTCATATCTAGGCCGCACATTTCCAGCGAGTTAACTTAGACCCACTGCTTCCACTCAGAGAAATGATTTGGACAGACGTTACGATGACTAGCAATCCATTTGCGTATTACACGCTGAACCGCTTCACCTGAGGCACGCAGAGACAGAACAAAATAACCATCAAATTTTTATTAATGAATTCCCTCAAAATCTTAATGGATGTTCTCTGGGCACAAAAGTGTAACTTCTCTCAAGAATTCAAATGTTATTCCATGAGAAGTATTCGGTTGCTTTGTATATAAGCGTGTAAAATTTTATTGAGAGATTTCAGTTGTCACAGCCTCAATAATTCGATGACCGACATTTCCCAGAACTAACTGAAACCACGTGAGGGAGGTCATCAGATTCGGAAATGTGCAGTCCCTATAAATATTGGGTTCAGCACCTACAAATGAGGAACTGATACTAGAATCCATCAGTACTGCATGCGCTCCAAGGGCCATTGGTCACCTAAAATACTGCTCAAATACATATTTCACGTTTCTTTTAAAGGATACGGATACTTTCTTCAACTACACAAGGTTGCATATCAAGGTGCATTGTGAGCCGTGGAGTATCCTCTAGTCTCCTAGTCTCCTAATTATTTAGTAATGATATTGACTGGACAATTGTGGTGCCACATTTACCATCCGAAGAGCACCGATTCGAAATCACACGTGAAGATATCTATGACGGGTCAATCCTGCCGAGAGTACAAACGCCTTTCGGAGATAATCACCGATTACTTGTCGGCCGCTGAGAAACCACTGTACACAGGTGATGTGTGAGGATAAGCTTTGTATCAAGAGTATCTGAGAGATTAATCTCCAATACTAAGCTGCTTTATAACAAGGATAACTCAAACGGACAAACCAAATACAGAATTACGATACTAATCTGCACCGGTCAAAAGGTTAAGGTCCCCAAATTAGCATCCCGGAGGAAAATTGTTCAAATTCCACGATTCCTGTTAAAATTTCTTTCGCTTTCTACCTATTACAGACTTACACTGAACGATGCTCCGCTTCTCAGAATCTTCTGTATTACTGCATTAAAAATTAAAACGAAGTGGTAAAAAATCGGAACCATACGCTTAAAGCTATGCTAGGAATCGTCTAATCTTACGTCTCTCAATGACAATACGTGAGGAGTAAATTGTACGTTTATTCAGTCTTAGCCTCATTCTCATTGTAACAGAAGAGAAATTTGATTCGCTGCTTAACAAAGAGAGTTAAGAAACTTTGTTCTTCAGACTCTGTTGAGTTTGAACTGGGAAGAATATGAAAAGCTTTTCTAGAGAATGTATATCCTGAGTCATTCATTCAATAAAGCATGACATCATATCCCCCCAGGATATTATGTGACACAGCAAACGAGAAACGTGTCTATTTCTCCATCCCATTCAGGGGAGAAACGATCGCGAAAGTATTGAGTAGACGAATTCAATCTTCCATCAAATTCACCTACTTTGAGGCTGAACCCTGCATTATATTCACGTCCAAACCGGTCCTCATTATGCAAACTTAAGACAGATTATCCCCGGATGTGACCTCATTTTGTGTTTATCAACTCACCGGTTCCTGTGGAGAAAGTTATGTGGGTCTAACGGTGAGGCGTCTATCTGATAGCATCAAGGAGCATCACCCCGTTTGGTTGAACCGGGGATTGACAAGGACCGTGGCGACGGCAATTACGAACCATTTGACTGAGTCTTATCACACATTCAATGTGCTTGAGGCTTTCTGTCCTCTCTCCACGGTCAAGGGTAGGTTATCGAAAGAGGTCAAGTTCAGAATGAAACAGTAAAATCACCTACGACAGAGTCAACTATCTTCTATCTATCAAATTTGAATTTGAATTTAAACCATCCTCTTGAAAACAGTGGATGATTCCCATCACATCCCACTGTTATTCCTATTTCTGAGCTCCACAGTCAAAAATGTTAAAAATACAACTTTGAATTCTCGATCATTCGAAAATTGTCGTGGCTGGTATAGGCATTCAAAACATTCAATCCATCCTCCAGTGCTCAAAACAATCCGTTCAATCACACCAATAAACCTGATCGCAACCTGGCACAGGCAACCCAAATTACCAAGAACTTTGGGGAGAACCAGGAACGCAGACCGGAATTGGAGAAGGGTGCTCAATCCTATCACTGTAAACATTTACAAACCACAACAACAACCAAACCTTTTCGATCCTTTATTTCAAAACCACGACTTCACAATCAACCAATATCTCTCATCAAACAAGACTATTGTATAAAAATGTATAAACGCGAGGCAAACCAGGCCTTGATCGACACCATGTTTTTTGTAATTGTTCGGTTTCTATATTTTCCGACAGTCTACATCTCTACAATTCCTATCCTCTTCTGTTGTACATGATGTACATGGAAC